CGCGGCCGCCTAACGCCTCCCTTCCTGTCCCCTCCCCTCCCCGTGTCGCCCCTGCAGGTACCCGCCGCAGGTCATGGAGAAGGCGCTGGAAATGGCCGAAGGCATCCAAGTGACCGGCGCGCCTGTCCGCACCACGAGAGACGAACTGGTTGCCAAGGTGAAGAAAAGAGGCATATCAAGTAGCAATGGTTAGCAGATCATAGCTGTGACAATATATAGGAGTCTAGAAAATGCTTGTTTTTGGCTGTTCTCGCTTTACCTCCGTCATAGAAAATAGTCAAAATAATTTACTTTTTAAACTCTTTGTTAATCGTTTCCCCTCTCTGTGCTATTTTTTCCCTTGTATAATCCCTACAAAATAGATGTAAGGTGTGTGTATTTTGTTGGTAATGTAGAGCTCTTGCTTTGAATTTCTCCAACAGCTGCACTTTAGCTGATGATTTTTTAGCGTGATGTAGGCCAGCGTACTGCAGCTTAAATGTGTTCCTGTTGCTTTGCCTTCGGTGCTGGGCAGACATTGCTTTGTGAGGAAACTTAGTTTTGTAAAGAAATTCTTAAAGTGGTATTGTAAAGATGTTTTTGTGATACTAATAGACAAAATACATGGTTTAGTTTTTAGGTCAGATAGTTTATTTAATATACTTTGGTCATTTTTTGTTTGGACTTCCAGAATAGAAATATGTGGGTCCCAACCAAAATGTGAAATCTTGCACCTGAGTATTTTTATTTTTTTAATCTGAAAATGACTAAATACTCTGAAATAATACTTGAAATTGCATTTCAGGGTGTATTCCTAATATATACCTTTAAAATCTATAGAGATTACTGCTAGAAGTTTTTAGAAAATGGATAAGTTGTCTCTAGATGGCTGTTCCACAGTGCAGAAATTAAAGAGGGTAATGTACTGTACTTGTTTTGCAGAAGGGGTAGAAGAGCCCTCCAAGAAGAGAGCTGTTGAGAAAAGCAGAGATTCTAAGGATACTGGAAAGGACGTGAAAACAACCAAGGCAGAAGCCTCGAAGGAAACACCGAGCACGTTGCCAAAAAACCAGGAAAAAGATACTAGCAACGATGTAGAAAGCTCCCGGTCAACTTGCAGTGCAAATAAAGAAACAGTCACAGCATCAGACACACAAACAGAAGGAAAACCTGCTAATGCTGAAAACACCACTGTGCAAAATTCATCTTCATCTGTAAAAGAGTCAGGAGAGACACCTTGCTCAAATCCTCCTAAGGAAAGCAAGAGTGAAAATGTGCCGTCACCTGAAAAGAAAACTCCAGTGAGTGCAGCGCCAGTGGCTGCCAAGTGAGGCAGTGCCAGCCACAGTGCCACCGGCTGCCAAGGATGCTCCACAGGCAGCGGCAGTGCCCCCAGCCGCCAGGGGTGCTCCACAGGCAGCAGCGGTGCCGCCGACCACCAAGAGCACCCCGCAGGCAGCTGCGATGGCAGCAGCAGTGCCACTGACTACCAAGAGCACCCAGCGGTGGGGGCGGCCGCAGCTCCACCAACCACAAAGAGCACCCCACAACCAGTGGCGGTGCCACCAGGCACCAAGAGCACCCCGCAAGCAAGCGCTACGTTGCTGTCTTCCAAAACCCAAGCGAGCGCCCCAGCGTCGGCGCCCAAGAGCGGCGCTCAGGCGGGCAGCTCGCTGCTGCTGGCGC